GAAAAGGAAAGTAGGTTTCACTGACGGACAATGCTTAGTGTACGGAAGCTTTGCAGAGCTATCCGTACAATCTCAAAAGTAATGATTTGAAGGCTCGCAGAAATCGCTCAGCTGCGACGAATGCAAACTGAACCGAAGCTGTGTTCGGGGAACCCATCAGAAAGAAGAATGAAACACTGGACTGTGGGAGAATGACAAAATCTTCATATTCTAAGAGTTGATGGTCATATGGTCAGTACAGATGCGAGCCGATGTGGGCTGATAAACTGGCTAAATACATTACTGTAGACCGGTTTGTTCAAGGGCGTTGAACAAGTGATTACCGCACGTTTTTGGTAAGTGGAATCACACTGAAAGGCTTGTGAAAGACCACACGAATATTCATTCGTATTCATTCACAACCAGTGTCGTTAATGGGATACACCCTTGTCAACTGAATTGTAACTAACCACGGAGTAAGGAGAACAGTTGGGGAATTGTAATCGATGAAAATCGACAGCAATGAACTGATTCATTTTAAGGACAATCAAGGGTGTCATATGCTTTTGTTACCCGGAAGCGATACAGGGATCACGGATGCTGGCATAGGTGCAATCACCTGTAATCTGAATTGAGCCGAGGTTAGGTTGCACAGTTTGACGCCATAAGGGAGTATGGAGAGCCCTCAGGGAACAACGAAATTTACGTGTTCAACGAAAACCATTTCGGTTTTGGAGACGCACAAAATTGTTGGTACGAAAGTTGGAAATGTGGTAAGTATGCTCTCAGAAAAGAAACTACTCGAAGTAGCTGTAAACTCTTCGACAGCCCACGACCGGTTTCGCTCTTCCTGGGTGCTCATCAGGTTCGCACAGTCCTCGAGTTTCCATCAGCCTTATTATCAGGAAGATCAGCTTCCTGAAAGCAGTCACTGAATGCCCAAAATCTGCCGAGCCTCTCAGTTCCGCTAGATGTTGACCAGACAGGCAACACCCCCTCAACATGCAGCGCGTCACAGCCTTGTATCAAATACATACAGCGCGAGTCAGCGTCGATCAAGGTCATACAATGCCTCCGCAGGATGCAGCACCTCGTACCGAAGCCAGACCGTGTGCGTCAGCATTGGACCGAGTTTAGACAGTGCCCCTCCAATAAATAGCTTGAGACCGTTGTACATTCGCACTCGCACGTACCCACGCTCTCGTACTCGCTTGTTTGGAATATAGCGGTTGTGTTCCCTTCTGTGAGTCTTTTTCCTCCGGCACTGGGCACTGGAGCGGGTCAGCAGCAGATACCACAGATTGACGAATCAGCAGATATAACGCTTATGTTTTACTTCAACCCAAAATTGGAATTTTTTCAAGAAACACACTCATTCGCAAATCAACTTGGCTTTCACGAGAGACTCGACCGGATCTCTCGTCAATGATATTCTGTGAATATTCCTTTTGGATAAAAATAGCAACAAATAAGTAAGAAAGGAAATTGATTTTGGACAGAAACCTGATATTTGAACTTTGAACAGCGACTTTGTCGAGGAATCGACTGATTTCCGTGTTTGATACGTTTCGGAGGCGTGAACAGAGTTAATGCTAACAAAATATGACAAGCAACAATTTGTCCCCAGAAACCACGTAATATCCAGTTTGACGAAGGGTCACAAAACTTTCAACAGCTGAAATATAAAGGATGAAGAAGTAGCCAAGCGATATGCGTTAAACGGAATGCGAGTGATAGTGCAAATTTTCGGAACTGAGAAGTTACTAAACGCACTACAACCTTATGGATTGAAACTTTAGTGAAGGGAAATGCCTGTGTAAAACTTTTCTGAGAAACGGACACCCCGGAAATTCCACCTGGCGGACTTTCAGAAAACCTGCTTTGACCCAGTCCACTGACTGGTGGCAGTTAAAGCACTACTGAACTACGAGCAACTTTATTGAGCTCATGGCCAGATGACAAACACCCGTCATGAGTACTCAGATTCTGAATTGATCAATACCGGTTGTTTATCAACTACTTATCATCTCATTATCAAATAATTACTTTGCCATCGTCCGAAAACCCCTTGCAAACTCAACTTACATTGTCTTGCGTTATCCTAATGAAATTATTGCGCTGCTTCGTAAACTAAGCTCGTAATGCTTTCAATGGATACAGCGCGTTCATTCCTAACGTTCCCTTCGTTCTGTGCAAACGTATTTCTACTTTCTTCGTAATGCACTACTCATAAGTTTGCTGAAAATCCACCGCCAGTAATCTCCTGAGTAGTGCAACGTGAATGTATACATGTATCGCAATATCTCGAATATCATACTAACTGAAACCTGAGGCGGCCTGATGCAACACATATATATATATATATATATATATATAGTGTATGTTCGTTGATTTCGGCCGCTGCGCTGAAAAAGTTTGCAGAATCCTCGGAGTTTTAACCGCGCACGTGATGGCAACAGATTTGACATTAAAGTTTCTGTCGTTAGCAACGGCATTCTCTCTAAAATCGGGTAACTCGTTTAGCAAGGAACGACTAATCAGCCAGCCCAGTGTTTTAGATTTCATAGTGTTCCATACCAATCGAAACTGCAGTTATGTTCGCATGTGAGCCAAGATTCGCAGTGCATTTCGCGCTCCATCCCCATCTCAATCGGCTATTGTACAACAGAGTTCCAGAAAACTCCGAGTGGTTGAATTTGTCGGAAATCACACATACGGAATTCTTATGGAAAGAGACAAATAGCATGTGTAAAATGTTCTAGTCAACTTCGCGTCTCACTTCGCGCATTCACTCCGCACACAGGCCCATCATAGCCGTATACACAGTGAGCACCGCTAGACGTGAAGAAAAAGAAACAAGTGGCTGGAGCTACATACACAAATCCAGTAACTGGGTGGATATTTATCCGAGTTCTTGTCACCAGAAACAGGGCTGAATCTTCTAGGCACCACTGCCTGCTGGCTCTAATTCTCCTACGAGATCCCATTACAAGATCTGCCGCCCGCTGGATGTACGCCCGGCCATTAAACACAAATGAACCCGAGATGTTTTCGCTTGGGGCGGTACTACAGCTTCCCAGTCCATTAGCACGAAAGAACTCTTAACATGATTCCTCGACTTTTTAAAATCTTATATGTAATGCAGAAACAAGGTTCTGTGGGAGGTTTCCATTACGCGAGTGCTTGAAGAACAACCAGCAGGTACTAGGCCGCAAAAGCTGCCCAAAATAAACCCATCGATAGATCGAGTATTGATCGAAGATAGGTTCCGCTAACTCTGTATTTTCCCGTGGGATTTAGTTTGCGGTACAAATATTCCACCTCGTCTAACGGATTTGTATCACATTCACGAAACGAGCGAAAGAAGAGAGTAAATTCCTGGCTGCTGGATTAAATTATATCAATCTGATGCTGTGCCCAAACGATATGATTAGTGATTTCCGTTTGTATATCTGTCTATCAGATGCTGCGGAACTCTGATGAGAAGCTTCGTTTAGACCAACCATGAGCGGTGCTCACTTACGTTTGCACGTTTGTGTGAGGAACAGCTATCAGATAAGCGATGTAACACTCAGTTTTCGCAGGCAAAGTTTGCTAACGTAAACACTGTCCACTTCGCGAGGCTTACAGCGATTCCGATGGAAAGCCAAATATCAATCAGTTTGGTTAGTGATCACAAAACGGAAGGTTCTTTTCGACAAAACCTCACGATGTGCCTCAGTTTTCCAAAACCAGCTACTGTGATTTTAAGAAGTGAGGGAGACCCAACCGGAACCCTTCCAACTGCGAGTATGATAGGGTTGAATGAGGTTCTCGTGAATTGGGAATTACGAAGCTATGACTCAATATGAAAGGGCTGCCAATCCGCAAGGATTCGTCAGTTAATCGTTGCCTATCAGAATTTGCGTCATTCGACGCTTACCACACATGATGAGGAGTAATGGATTTCCAAAGAATAGTTCAGTCAGATTAGATTCACAACCCCCTGTCCTCAACCTGTTCAACATCTGACAGATAAACGACCACATTAACAATCCGACGGACGAGTTCATCAATTTGCCGAAGAGGTTTTCTCGCGGCAAGCAATTGAGTCCCGGTGTTGATCGCTGCTGGTGTGACCAAGATAGCCTTTCGTTGCAAAGTTAGCCGTTGGAAAATACAAACTACACAGTTACAAACCGTTAGACAATAAAGTCAACATATTATAACCAAGTCCGAGTAAAATTCGCCCGGTCCCCCAGCTCAGTTTCCGGCGCTCGCTTGTGTATATAAGCGATCACAATCTATAACACACTCGACTCAAACGATGCGCCCGGATGTCCAAGCTCCCAGAGTAACTTGATGTCCTTAAACCATCCATCTTCAGTTTTGGTCACCCAAGCTAACCACAACTTGCATCCGACTAGCGTTCTCCACTGCTAAAATGTTTTCCACCATAGATCTTCGTCATCTGGACTGTAACGTTAGTGTGTTCATAATTACCACCCAAGTTATTCTGAACAATGGGAGATTGAGTTCACTTAGGGGTGTTTTTGGTAAACAATCCCACGGTTCTCCAAAATTTTGAATGGCTACAAAGTTACGACATAGTATTCGAAATCACAGCCAAAGCAGCATAATGGTGGACAAGTTATTTGTCGGGAGATCGTTTTTAGTTAAACCAATGAACCAATCAGAAATGTCCCGTTCTGCAATGTTGGAAAATTGCCGTGATGTAGGCGTGTTTTAACTTGCTGACATCATTTATTTTGTCCGAACCGCGCAGTTTAAACGTGCACGATATCGCGTCAAATGCGTCCTATAAATTACTCGTTTTCAGTCAGCTTCCCTCAAAGTTTGTTCCACCCCGTCTGTCGTGGGGAATCCCTGCTACAACATGTCTCATAAGAGAATCTGTTTGTTATAATTGACAAATCGGTTGTTACTTTTCGCTCGAAAATAACCATTGGCATTTAGAAACACAACACTGTGGCGAGAGCATCAAAATGTCAATGAAAACGTGAATTCTGGAGAGAAGAATGTCAAATCGGTTCGGCGAATCCAACTCGTTCATTATCCACGTCGTATACCACGGCGAAATGCCGCAGAAATGAGAGGCCAATGATTGCATTGTATGCCGAATGTAGGTCCAAACCTTCAAACAATGGCTGACACCGTCCTATTTCGAGCTGGTTTGACAAACCGAAAACAATGTCAGATGGTTTAATAAGGAAGATTACCACAAAATATGGAGAGAACATGCAGGTTTCTGACAAAAAAAGCTGACAAACGGATCATATGTGAGATTGCAGAAAACCCGTACGGGCGAGCATCTAAATACTTGTTGACCAAAATATTCCTCAAAATGTGCCTCACCTAGGAGGCGGGTGACAGGAAACCAAGGTGAGACTATTTTTGCTATGGGATATGACGTGTTAACAACAAGGCAAACATGTGTCAAAACTGGGTTCTCACCTGCCCAATATAATGGTTCGGTTCCCATTTTAGTTGATGGCCGTTGAGATTTACCAGTAGGGTTGGCATTAGATACCTCGCGTCACATCGTACATCGTGAGTGCCCAAAACCATTTGTTTCCAGACACCAGCAAAAAGATTATTCACAAATAATGTCGGTAAATAGGTTTTGTACGCTCCAGTGTCAGTCAAGGCTGAAAGATCCGATACTAAGACGGTGCCATCTCTCAACGTGATACTGAAAAATAGAAACTCATTGCGTACTTCGAACTGTACAGTCGTTAGCATTTACCCAGTCGGGTACCAAGACATGCGTGCGATCAACTATTTTCAGTAAAAAATAAAGAGTGCCAATTGAAAATATGCATGGAGAAACGTGAAGTTAACTTCCGGAATAGCATTATCACTATTTTTCACACCATTCGTCTACCGTCGCGTGAAACAATCCCTGAAGCTGGGTCACACTCGGGCTGGAAACCGATAAAAGCGGACCAGTTCCAGAAAGCCGTGCTCCAAGGAACACTCAAGGTTCTTCCAAAGAAATAAACACTCTAATCTGCTTTGCGATCCATCTTAAATTCAACGAATTAATCCTCGGCAGGACCGCTTTTTGGCTATTTATTCTTTGTGACAGTCTACTTAAAAAGGAACGGCAGACAGCGATATCTCAGCTGGCTTCGATTTTACGGCGTTATGATGTCGGGGCGTCCGTTGGAGGAACAGTTTCTCCTCACACATCCTGAATGGCCTACAGATCATTGTTGAGGAAGGCGTATCCTGAATCACCAACAAGCACTAAAGACTTGATAATGCTTTGGCGGAGTAAATGTCCCGGGATTGTTCCTTGAAACGGTCTAAACTATATGGGATAAGTAAAATCAGTTCTGATCCGTGATATCACCAATCTCAACCCGCTGCATGATGTAGAATGTATCATGTACAGAACGGAGAACGCAAGCGATTCATTTTCCTTGTAGATTGCACAAGCTTTTCTGATCTTGAGTGTTTCTTTGGGGTGACACTCGCTTTTCTGGAGCAAGCTAACTGCTTGTGTCAGCCTCGGTGAACGGTTTCGAAATTTGGGGAACAAGCCTAAACAGACACGGGGTAGAGGAATTTTCCGTAATGAATCCACATCGGTCCATTTCCATAGTGAACGCAAGCGGCGGTGCGAATTATGAGCAGGGAAGAATCGCGCCATATCTAGGACCAGAGCATCAGTAGGCGGTAAAATCTTGGAGATAGATAGGCAAAACTCCTGTGTAACCTCTGCGTCCGACCGTGAGGTGCACCCATTTGAAGCCGAGTGGATGAAATGCTGAGTGAGCTCAGTTAACCCCTGTTGTGTAGTACAATGTTTATCCGTTTATAATATCACGTGCAAGGAACTGCTTATTATTTACAAATTTTTACACTACTCGTCAAACTACCTCCAGCTCCTTTCGTTTCATGTCTTGCGCGCGAATTCGGTTGATCCATATTACATTATGAGCGCGAATCAAGGTCAAAGTTTGGGGTTGAAATGACTAACCGGTAGTTCCATGGTTCCAAAACCACCATGCCTTTTCGATTGTCCTAGTCTAGTTTACGGTCACCTAGTGAACTTTCATTCCCCGAGCTTTCTTCATGTTGAAGGGTAGCTGGGCATCAAACAAATTCCTCAGCTGCGAGAAAATACTTCCGTCGATAAATAATTAACTTTAGCCATAACTGTTGAGAAACGAAAAACAAGCTAGTTAACCGAATAGAGTCTGGTCCAAAATCCGAAGCGCCATGACTACCTAGGTTCACTTAATGCAATGTGCAGATAGTCCACTTCAAGGTACATGGACCATCAACGATCAAACAACGTCCAGTTTCTCCCACCAGTTAGAAGATCCTTGTTTTTGCTTTTGTGATGTATGGTCTATGCGAAGTTATTAGAGCAGAACATACGGGAATATGTTTAGAGAAAGCCCGTGTGACAATCCACTGCAAAATAAAGCCACATTTGCTTGAATTCTGATGTTACCCCAACGTTCAACGATGAATATTCTACGCCTGGCATTTTCCACAATGTTCACGAAGACCACGTGAGAACTCTTTCTGGCCAGCCTAAGCGAGAATTAGTGAACGCGCACTGATGCTGACTTCTCTGCTGGTGTCCCCAAGTAAAATGCTAAGTTCGGCAAATGAACCAATATCATCCCAACTATCATGATACATCGGCGTATTACTAACTAGGTTAATTTATTGATTTACACGCGGCCATTCAAAATGAAACTGTAATACCAAGCTATTCTGTTCACCGGAAGTTGGACTGGTCAACCGTTGAAGCATCGGAAGAAGCTTCTCATTGACGTCTTTGTAGTGCTGAGAGCTATGGCAATTGGCAGCTCGACCACTCTACACTTCCGCTAGTAGTAAGCATTCTGCCACCGATAACTTCGTGAATAGGTACGAAGATCTTTGGTCCACAAACCGAGTTGCAAAATGTGGAGATGGGCCGGACCGGATGATTATGGCGAAGTTTTCAACGGTTACTTCTCGTTCAGGATTCTTGGCCCTCACTCAGCAACGGGAGATGTAGAGTATTTCGAAGTTTTTGGTTTTGACCGATTCCAAAAAGGACGATGATCTCTCTACAAAGCTAACCAACGACAGTTGTGAGGGCTTTCAAGATGTTCACCTTTCCTGTTCAACAGCGCATCAATGTACATGTCTCTACATGTTCACTTCGAACAGACTACTGATCCATGTCGTAGGTTAGTTCAATGGGATCCTGGGCCGATGACTCAAAAAGCGTCCGAAAACATTTCTCAGTTTTATATCCCAGTCGGTTCAAAATAAATTGCCGAGGATGCTTCCGATGTTCTACGCATCCACTTATGTTCTGGTTTCGGAAGTGCTCGTGTTGATGCCAGTGCCACAGAATGGAAAGACCTTCACGTGACTGCTGGTGATAGAACAGGAGTGGGAGAATATTCTACAACTGAATGTGCTGCACACAGGCTGCCGCATGATTCGGTTGGTACGATATTCGAGATATCGCAGTTGAGTCTTTCGTGAAAACCAAATTGATTTGCAAAATGAGTGTATTTCTTGCAAACAGCCCAATTTGGGTTCAAGTGGAACACAAGGTTGACGGAAACTCGGGGACTGCGCCTACCGGATAAGCCCGAAGAAGGGCAAAACCGGTCGTGGGCTGTGGAAAATATTTCAGCAACCTTATGAGTGGTTTCCTTTGTGAAAAAGGATTGGAAGAACCTAAGACATTGAATTGCGACTCGCCTTGTTATCTTGATTATCCATTCGTCTTTCCTTCCGGCCTTCCAAATTAGAGGAACATAGCTTACTCTTCCCGGAATATGTTGCTTCGTGAATTCCACAAAGATGACGGTCCCAGATGTCCCACCTCTAAATCAAAATGGGGACAAATAAAGAAACCCGGACTCTTGTGACCTGAAACAAGAAACGGCATTGTTGCGTCATACACCGAGCACTTTCAGGCAATCACTCAATTTTCTTATGGCTTTTCGAGAAAAAAGTTTAAAACAAAAAAATTCGTGTGATTTTTGTGGAATTTCCAGTTACGAACTCATCACCCTAATACATAACCTTGAAAAAAATTGTGACATGCTACGTTTTACTAAATGCAAGTACTAGAATTTATTATTTTGATCTAGCCCGTCAGTTTTCATTCCAATTTCAGTATGAGTTTACTTGGAACAATATCCAATTTCTTTTATATGTGATACGATTTGGCTTGCATGAGGCAACGTTTCATCCCAAGGGGATACTAAAACGTGGATTTCTATTATCCTGCAAAAGAGCTGGGTACTGGCATGTGTAGGCTTAAAGTAGGATTGAAACATTGTGGAAAACAGACTTTCATGGAGACAATGAGAAGCACAAACCAAATTTCTGTCACGCTGAGCTTCTAAATGACTAGAAAATGTTTTTGATTGCCAGCGGGCTTCTGAAGAACAGTGAACTGCTTGCTTGGTGCGAAACACAGAGAGACAGAACGTTGGTCACTGGTGATCCCATAGAGGCTGGATCCGTTCTGCCAAGCACCCAACTGTCGGGAAAAATTCCCCGAGCACATTTACATGTGAAGAGACACATGAACAAACGCTGTTTACATTGGAGCTGGAATGAAACGAGTGTCTCACGAACGCTTTTGGAACTACCAGCTGATAGCCAAATTGCTTCTGTCTTCACAAGATTGTGCTTTCGAAAGGAAGTATAACCGCAAACGTGTGGGAGACCAATCAAGAAGTATGACTGACGTTCGACTAAACCAACTGGATTTCAGCAAGTGTGGAACGTCAAGAAATATCCGTTTGTAGACGCTTGTTCTTACATGTTTCCATTCGTTGCGCAAACGCAAATGTTATCTGCTTTGCTCTTAAAGCCCAACACGTCTCTTACCCTAGAGTTTCTCTTCATAAACGTAAATTCTGTTCCTGTTACTATAAATATACCCTACTAAATGTTCACGATACAACCAGCGGATCAAAATTTGTTATCACTCTGGTCGCGAAACATGAACCTTCTGCGAGGATGTCCGACGTCATTGGAAAAAAATTTTCTATGACTTGGTCCTCGGAGAGCAATGCTACACACATATTCTGCTCCGGTTCGCTTGTACAACCTCCTAACTGAGAGACAGCAGCAATTCGTCTATATTTTCTAATGCTGTTTTCTGAGCTAGACTGGTACTCACCACTGAAGGCCTCATCAATTTTTGAACGATTAGCGTCACCTCAGAGGAGTCTCACCATAATTATTGAACCTTAGGTTGCGGTCAATTAAAGCGCCCCCGGAGGTCTATAAAATACCACTGTCTGGGGTAACCTCATTCGTTGTGAGCCTGTGTGATTTTGAGACTAGAGTACGTTTCCCTGAATTGTAATGTGTCGGTTTACGTGACCCGCGTTAGTGCTTTTGGACATAAAGATTGTGAAACGAACCAGCGTTCAACCAATAAAAGATTTTGCTGTGAGTGGAAATTAATTGAACGTCAAACAAAAACCAAATTAAATATCAACCACTCAGGCTCAATTTAAGTTTATTTCCAGGATATCAAATTGACTGCGTTTGGTTTTTAAACATTACTCAAAATTACTTCAAAGAATTTGCTTGAAGCAACACTTACTTTTTAAAGATAAAGGTAAACATGCGCCGTGAAACGACAGTTTGGGAGAACATATCATCCAGTGAAGTTGTGTGTAGCTGTTCATGATATTGTTTTATCGAAAGTCCGAGTAGCCCGTCAATTGTGTACAGTTGTCCCACGCTGCCTTTTATGCTATCCATGGCAGAAAACTCTGTGCGAAACGATCGACCATTAATCTGATGATTGGTTTTGAGAAATCACCCACTCACTTGCACAAGATCCGAGAAAATTTCGCCGTTCGCCTTGTAGTTCCCATATTGAAGAGAAACCGATTTATACGTGAATACGTGCGACAATGAAGCGAACGGATTGTACGACGCCTGAAGGATCGGTTGCTGTTGCACGAGCCTCTTACTGGGTATCCATAAAATCGGTGACCCAGTATCGAGCATTAATCTAAAGTATCGTGGAGGGGTCCCAACTCCGACGATTCCGTAATGATAGTGATTCTAGGGTAATTGAGAACTCGTAAGTTCCTGTCGGCGAAACCACCTTTGAATCGCAAATCGTCACCTAAATCGAGGTCTTTGGGGTGTGTTCCCTTTTTGTTCTCTGTAATAACACACTCTGAAATGATGTTCTGAGACCCATCGATAAAAAAACCTTTTCGCAACTCACTTCATCGTACTCGGTTTGACCGATACACTGCACAGGATGACCATTAGAAAAATTCCAAACATCCTAAGTTGGCGTTGCTTGTGATCAGTATACTGTTTGGCCTAGCATTTAAACGACCCGCTTGCCTCCGAAGCGAACTATGATTGGTTAGCGTCGAATGGAGTGTGACAGTTGACCTTCACTGAACACAGAAATTGGCATGGCGTATGATCGAAAGTCACCGAACTAAGGGCAATCTAATTGAGACCCCCCGTCACAGCCCAGCTACCCAATGTCTGCAAGAGAATGCTAAGCACATCCGGTGAAATATTACGCCTGACAAGTTTTAGCAGGTTCCACATCGTATTTGACAGTATTTCTAGCACCAGTGATCGGACGGATATTTAAGCGGGAAGCGGAATCGCGTCGCCGTTTTCCCTAATTAGTTTGTGTCCAAATATTTTGTGGGTGGCCAGAATACTTAAAATATTTAATTTAATATTATCATTGTCGATAAAACATCCCCACGTTTTTGCGAGCGACATGAATTGAGACAAGTTACGGTCAAATAGAACAATGATCACTGGTAATTACCAGTAACTCAGCGTTCAAGGGGAGCACAAGGATGAATGAATCCCGAAGAATGCCTGCCTGTAGAATGGTGGGACCGGGCCGTTGATGATCTTCATCAATCTTATGAGTAGTAGGTCACGTTCAGATCTCTGAGGTATTTACTATCAGCAGTTCAACGAAATTGAAAGATGAAAATAGCTTACCGTTCGGGGTCATCTGCGTGTGAGTGGACACAACAATACGATATGATGCCAGCCCCTATGTCTGTGTGTTACGGGAATGTCTGTGAGACACAGCCAAACTGTCGGGGGTGATGTGCATCTTGCAGTCGGATTCGAGGGCCGAGGGTGAAGTTACTTGGGTAAACCTGATACAAAAGCAAATTGCGCTAATCTGGCCCTCGTGAGTTATTATCATTCAGGACCTTTTTTCCTTTATTTTTGAGTACCCTCTGCATAACTTGGACATCCGGTAGGATCCGGGTTTGTCCCAGATGCCTTTCGTTTGTCTATTTTGACCTTATCATTAGAGAGACTCAAAGTTGGAAGGAGTTCCAATTGAAAAGTTCCTACCACCAACATAGAATGCTGTTTCGGAAACTCCATGATGGAGATATTATGCCTAATGTAAGATTTATCCATTTTGCACGACGAAAACGCAAACCTGCGAACGTGCTTTTGAGCACTAGAAATGATACTTCCTCTGAAAGTGGATTCCGCGTGGCCCGAGTCGGATGGGAACACCGGACCAGTAATGCTTACGTTGAAAGTTTTCAGATGAAATATCGCCCAAGATAGATGAAATGATGACACTGCATAGGTTGTAATGCCTTGGACACTTGCTCCATACGCACGTCAACCGACTTCATTGAAGGTATTTTTGCAGAGCCGCGTGAGTCAATGAATCTCCAAGAAAGTTCAAGAAGACGCGTTTCGGAGAAGATTGGTGTCCAGTTTTTGCAAATAAGATGCGAATTAGAGTACCGCTTCCCTGTTCAATTGTCTGTAACTGGTCAGGTGGCATTTCCGAATAAATACCTCCGCAGCGACTACCTTCTTCTTTTTATTTGGTGCCGTCGCCAGGATGAGGATGAAGATCCCGTGGCCGTAACTCTTTGAGGATGGGGATGTTCGGACCTTCCTGGAGGATTTTGAGGCTGCCGGGCTGGAAACCGAACGCGGTAATTTGGCAGCGCTAGAGACCCTACTCAGGGGCAGGGCGAAGGCAGCCCTGGATGCGGCCGGAAGAGGCCCTCGGAAGATGGACTGGGCTACTGTGATGAAAGTCCTGGCATTCTAGAGTTCGGCACGCCGGCCGACCGCCAGGAGGCTATGAGCCGGTTTAAGGCGGCCAGGATGTCACCCGAATCTGACCCGCCCGCGTTCTTCGCCAGCCTGCAGCAGTTGTTGGATCGCGCTTTGCCGGGGCTGGACGGAGTGTGGCGACACCAGCTGCTGTCGGACCAGTTCGTCGAAGGGGTGCAGCCGGCGCTTGGTGTCCAGTTGCGGTTGGCACGAGCAACTGGCCAGTTGAGTGTGGGGGAGCTGGTGCGTCTGGCCCGATTGCTGCCGAGGTACCACTGGCCACGTTACAGTCGCCGAAGAGGGATTGTTCATCAATGGATGAACTGCAGACCAGGGTGGATCAACTGGCCGAACAGCTGGGAGCTGTGAAGACGGAATCGCGGAGACACGCTCGAACTAGCCGGTGCTTCATGTGTGGCAAGCCTGGCCACTGGAAAAATCAGTGGCCCCATACCCGATCACCTGTACAAAATAAAACTTTAGATTACTCCTCTTTTCCGGACTGGGTTGCGATTAGCGCGCTGAAACAAGCTATCATACAAGTGGTTGTTGAAGTGGACGTGAAAAGGGAGTTATATTTGATTGATACAGGAGCGGGCGTATCGCTGAAGCGAAGAAGGAACCAAGCTGAAGGCAGACCGTGCGTGCTAGCCGTGAGAGCAGAGGGTTGATAACGACTGGAAATTGTCGGATTGTCAACGCACTCAATGCGCCTAGGCGACAAGTCCGTGCAGCACGCGTTCCTGATCAGCCCAGACGTGGGACGGACAATATAGCGAGTTGATTTCCTCAAGGGCACAGATTCCGTGATTGACCTAAAGCAGAGAAGGCTGGTGACAAAGTATGGCGCAGTCAAGCTTGAAGGTTGTCCAGGCGCTGTCGTGAGTGAGCAGCGTGTCCGAAAGCTTCCCTCTTGTAATGTGCCGTCAATACGGTCCGTGGTCAAGGAATATTCCGGACTGTTCACAGGCGATGAGGATCCGTTTGGCTTCTGCCAGCGGATTGAACACGAGATAACCCTGTCGTCAGAACGCTTTCGACCTTATGGCCCCCGTCCTTTGCAACTCCATCTAGGAGAGCAGGTGCATAAACGGCTTCGGGAGATGTTGAAGAATGGCAAAATCGAAAAAGCCAATGGAGCTCACAATTCCCCAGTTGTGCTTGCAAGAAAGCGCCAGCCCTGGATGCGGCCGGAAGAGGCCCTCGGAAGATGGACTGGGCTACTGTGATGAAAGTCCTGGCATTCTAGAGTTCGGCACGCCGGCCGACCGCCAGGAGGCTATGAGCCGGTTTAAGGCGGCCAGGATGTCACCCGAATCTGACCCGCCCGCGTTCTTCGCCAGCCTGCAGCAGTTGTTGGATCGCGCTTTGCCGGGGCTGGACGGAGTGTGGCGACACCAGCTGCTGTCGGACCAGTTCGTCGAAGGGGTGCAGCCGGCGCTTGGTGTCCAGTTGCGGTTGGCACGAGCAACTGGCCAGTTGGGTGTGGGGGAGCTGGTGCGTCTGGCCCGATTGCTGCCGAGGTACCACTGGCCACGTTACAGTCGCCGAAGAGGGATTGTTCATCAATGGATGAACTGCAGACCGGGGTGGACCAACTGGCCGAACAGCTGGGAGCTGTGAAGACGGAATCGCGGAGACACGCTCGAACTAGCCGGTGCTTCATGTGTGGCAAGCCTGGCCACTGGAAAAATCAGTGGCCCCATACCCGATCACCTGTACAAAATAAAACTTTAGATTACTCCTCTTTTCCGGACTGGGTTGCGATTAGCGCGCTGAAACAAGCTATCATACAAGTGGTTGTTGAAGTGGACGTGAAAAGGGAGTTATATTTGATTGATACAGGAGCGGGCGTATCGCTGAAGCGAAGAAGGAACCAAGCTGAAGGCAGACCGTGCGTGCTAGCCGTGAGAGCAGAGGGTTGATAACGACTGGAAATTGTCGGATTGTCAACGCACTCAATGCGCCTAGGCGACAAGTCCGTGCAGCACGCGTTCCTGATCAGCCCAGACGTGGGACGGACAATATAGCGAGTTGATTTCCTCAAGGGCACAGATTCCGTGATTGACCTAAAGCAGAGAAGGCTGGTGACAAAGTATGGCGCAATCAAGCTTGAAGGTTGTCCAGGCGCTGTCGTGAGTGAGCAGCGTGTCCGAAAGCTTCCCTCTTGTAATGTGCCGTCAATACGGTCCGTGGTCAAGGAATATTCCGGACTGTTCACAGGCGATGAGGATCCGTTTGGCTTCTGCCAGCGGATTGAACACGAGATAACCCTGTCGTCAGAACGCTTTCGACCTTATGGCCCCCGTCCTTTGCAACTCCATCTACGGTGCATAAACGGCTTCGGGAGATGTTGAAGAATGGCAAAATCGAAAAAGCCAATGGAGCTCACAATTCCCCAGTTGTGCTTGCAAGAAAGCGCAACGAAAAATACAGGTTTTGCGTGGATTCCTGGCGCTTGAATGAACTGATCGTAAGTTGGGTTGTGCCTGTGACTTCGGTTGCAGAGATTTTTGATTCCCTTCATTACTCTCGATACTTCACTAAATTCGACTTCCGTTCAGGGTACTGGCAGTGACTGCGAAGACCACCATCATTAGTATTCTTGATGATTAATAGTAATGAGTTGAATGCTGTTGTTCTTCTGTAACGTTTGCTGGCTTACAAATTAGGATGCCTAAATGTTGTGGACCACGGTCTCCTTAATGCCTTCTTTTTACCGTGAACCCCGGTGTGGATAGCCGCTTGATCGGCTGGTGCGCTTGGCCAAACCAGTGCGAGCCAGCTGCTTCATTGATCAGTGTCGCGTACAAGCGTTCGAACGTGATACCAAGAATACGACTCTTTGTCAAAGATGAATGAAGAGCAACCAATGAAGTCTGTCTCATCGAAAAACGATTATTCCATTAGCAGTTATGTAGTCCCGTTAGGTTCGGAGCCATTTTTTCTAATAGTAAGTCAAAAAAAATCGGCTC